GGGGTGGGAGCCTCGGCATGCTTGGCTGCACTGATACCCTCCCCAGCTTTCTCCACCTCCCTAATGGGGACCCTCAGGCACCCTGTTACTCTGGTCAGAATTCTGGACCCTTCCTGCAATCCCAGAACCCACTGTAACCCCGCCGGCAAGTCCTGCTGGCTCCACCTCCAGTAGTGACATCAGCTGTCTCCTCGCCTGGTTCATGACCTGCCCCTCTTGCTCAGAATTCTGGACCCTTCCTGCAATCCCAGAACCCACTGTAACCCCGCCGGCAAGTCCTGCTGGCTCCACGCCTGGTTCATGACCTGCTCCTCTTGCTTCCAGATTCCTTCGGAAAGCATTTAGCTGGACTCTAGGCCTCCCCTGCAGCCCTCCATGAGAAACCAGAGTGATCATTCTGAGAGAAAAGTAAGATCCTGTAGGCAGCCAGCTCCTGGCCTTCCGCATTTTGCATTTTCTCAGCCTGAGAACCTCTTCCCTCAGCGTCCCATGCACTTTCCATCCCACTGCAACCATCCTCCCTAACACTGCACCCCAAATCAGGCTTCTCCCTTATCGGGCCTTACTTTTATTCACAACACATGCCACTGTCTAGCAAAAAGAACTTACTTACATATTTCTTTAAAATCTGTCTCCTCAATTAGTTTAGTATCTTTGTTGTTTTATTTTTTCACTGCTAAAATCCCAGAGTCTGGGTCTGACAAATGGTAAAGTGACAATATTTATTGAAGGAATGAATAAAAAGTCAAATGACACAAATGATACACCCCATTAGTATTATTATGACGGATGAATGGGATGATGTCCATATACAGTAAGAACAGTGCTGGCACCGAGTGCTAAGCCTATGACTTCCTTCCATTCTTTGTTATCTCAGTAGTAAGCTCCATAGTCAGGACTTGATATCCAACTTGCAGGATGGCCATAGCTGCTTTGTGAGGTCAACACATAGCCACCCTTCTGCATGTTCTAAGTAATATATTCCTATAGGTCTTCTGTGTAGAGACAGACAGGATGAGATGTTCCTGAGATAAATTCACAAATTCTGTATCTTGCTATACAATATTAACAGTTAGAAATTTAAGCAGCAGCAACAACAAAAGCCCAAAGTTGCCTCTTGGATTGGACTCGCAGGCACATGTGGAACAGCAGGTTTCCTCTTCCCCAAAGCTCGCCTCTCCTATAAATCATGGTAATTGCTTCCATGTGCCCACAGTCCAGAGGGAGCTTTGCAATCGTCTTTGAGGAGATTAGTGGCCTCTGATGTTCCTTATGAAATTCAGAAAAGCATCTGGAAGTAATTTAAGTAAAGAAATTAATGATTTGGGGTTAAATAATACATGACTTTTAAAAATAAATAAATATAAGAAACTCTATTAGCCCAAGAACCTCTAGTTCACACCTTAATTTGTGTGGATTTACCTAAAAAGATAACTGAACCATATCCTCTCTTTCTTTGTACCATCTTGTGTGTATGTCTGCTGACCAGCTTTCAGAACACGCAATGCTCAATAGTGTCCTAAGCTGCGTTTGCAGAGACGCTCCCATTTCCGGGGTTTCCTTTCGTCCATGTGGGAGGGGCCTCTTCTGGGTGATGCTTGAAGGCTTCAGTCTCTGGGGACGTCTGAGATTTAGGGACATCTAAAGAGCAGATACCACCAGGCGCTCCGAACTTTCCTGATTGGGGGCCTTTCCTCTTCCCCCCTCTTTGAATCGTTATGTCTTTTGCTTTGGTTTGTGCTATTTCCCCTGGTTTTGGTTATTTTTATGGTGGGGCCTTAGTCTATCCTCTTCCCCCCTCTTTGAATCGTTATGTCTTGTGCTACGGTTTGTGCAATTTCCCCTGGTTTTGGTTACTTTTATGGTGGGGCCTTAGTCTATCTTTTTTTTTCTTTTTGACAGGGTTTTGCTATAGGGCGTGTGTGCTCTCCAGAAAGACAGAGACAGAGAGACAGAGAGACAGAAAGCAAGAAATCACCCCCCAGGGGGATGACCATGCCTCAATTCCTTCTCCTCCATGCTCCTCCATGCTCCTCCCAGGATCTTGGGCACGCACGCACACGCGCCCGGTGTGAGTTTAAGGCACCGGGTCTGAGACTCAAACTGCGGTCGACTACATGGGAGTCCAGCAACATAGCCATTACGCTAACTGCTGGTCCCCGGTGGGGCCTTAATCTAGAACTGCATTTACTTGGCCATGCTGTGGGTAGCAAGATTCTGCGCCAACGGGGAGCAAATGAGGGAGAGGAGACGGGCAAATCACATTGCAAAGACGAGCAGGGAGCGGGGGCACATCTGGGGACTTTCTGGTTCATGATAGGAGTCAGGAGGAAGAGCAGGTGAAGACCATCCTAATCCCTCAGTCAGAAATAGTGGGATACGTTGTACTTCTCTTTCATGTTGGAGGCTAGAAACACTGAAGTGAAAGTCCTTATTCTCTAGTGACTTAAAAGAGGGAGACGGAAGATGCACCTTCTATTCTCGCCCATCTGTTTTAGGACCCCTCTGGGGAGTCTGCCCACCCTAGCTGAATGCACTGAAGAGCTAGGCGGTCTCAGCATAACCCATTTTAAGACTTTGCTCTCCAGGCCCATGGGAACCGACTTTACAGCTCCCTTTGTGGTCTCTTCCCTATCAGCCAAGTGGAGCTGGCTGAGAAATCCATCCTAGGTCCCCAGCTCTCGGCCTGCCCAGCAGGAGAAGGCCCCACTCAGCTGGAAGAGCCCCCCTAAGCTTTGCCCCACCTACTCAAATTTCTCCTGATCTCTCTCCCAGGGCCCAGCTGAGGTTGGAGCCCTGCTAGTGGTTGCAGGAGATATTTCACTTCTGTCCTATCAGCCAAGTGGAGCTGGCTGAGAAATCCATCCTAGGTCCCCAGCTCTCGGCCTGCCCAGCAGGAGAAGGCCCCACTCAGCTGGAAGAGCCCCCCTAAGCTTTGCCCCACCTACTCAAATTTCTCCTGATCTCTCTCCCAGGGCCCAGCTGAGGTTGGAGCCCTGCTAGTGGTTGCAGGAGATATTTCACTTCTGTTTTTTTTTTTTTTCAATCAAGGATCTGTATTTCTCTTATTATGAACTTCTTTCCTGAGCTGATGATGAGACTTGATAGTCGGGATTCCTGCT